TCCCTTCTATTTGCCAGGAGGTGATGGGCCCAGTGGCCATGATGTTAATTTTTTTTTGATGTTGAGCTTCAGACCATATTTTGCGCTCTCCTCTTTCACCCTCATTAAAAGGTTCTTTAATTCCTCCTCACTTTCTGCCATCAAGGTTGTGTCATCTGCATATCTGAGGTTGTTGATATTTCTTCCGGCAATCTTAATTCCGGCTTGGGATTCATCCAGCCCAGCCTTTCTCATGATGAATTCTGCATATAAGTTAAATAAGCAGGGAGACAATATACAGCCTTGTCGTACTCCTTTCCCAATTTTGAACCAATCAGTTGTTCCATATCCAGTTCTAACTTTAGCTTCTTGTCCCACATAGAGATTTCTCAGGAGACAGATGAGGTGATCAGGCACTCCCATTTCTTTAAGAACTTTCCAAAGTTTGCTGTGGTCAACACAGTCAAAGGCATTTGCACAGTCAACGAAGGAGAAGTAGATGTCTTTCTGGAACTCTCTAGCTTTCTCCATAATCCAGCGCACTGCCTTGCCGTGGCAAAGGGGCTTGAATGACTCAGAGAAGCTAGGAGCTATGCCGTGCAGGGCCACCCAAGATGGACAGGTCATAGTGGAGAGTCTGTGTGAGAGTGAACAAAGAATTGCAAAAGGGGATGAATGCGCAATTGCTGAGTTCACATTTGCCACATGAATATTGGGCCGAATCTCTAGTGTCCTATCTTCATGTGTGCTTGAGCAAAGTCTCAACAGAGTTGGGATGTTCTCCTTTTGAGAAGCTGTTCCACAGAAAACCTTCTGTTGCCTATTTTAAGGTTTTCGGGTCTCATCTGAGAACAGAAGCTCCAGGTGGAGTAAAGAATGCCAGAGGCATTTTTGTGGGTTATGAAAAGGGTCTCTACAGAGTAATTTTGTCTGAATCTGGTCAGGTGATTCTCACAAAGTTTCTAGAGAGTGCTCCAGAAAAAGAGCGGGTTATAGAACAAACATTTCCCACAGGTGGCAATTCAGATGATGATTTTTCTGATGTCACAGATTACAGTGGTACTGATGATGACAGTGATAGCTCAGAGAGTTCAGTTGTAACAGTCATTGAGAGAAAATCTCACACTATGGCTAGACCTTCACAGGTGAAGGAAGAACCACTGTTAGCCAATGCTACTGGTTCTCAACAAAGTCCAAAGGTAGAACCAGTGAGCACAGAGGATCAACACCTCATACGCAGGTCTGAGAGAGTTACAAAGGGTGTACCACCAAAGAGGTACTCAAAAGAGTTTGCTAACTTAGCTGTTGCATGTGTTGCTATTGTTAACAACTCAAAGCAGGTTAAAGCAGTGTCTAAGTCAGAGACAAAGACACAACAGAGAGTAGCTAGCCAAGGTAATGCAGAAACACTCATTCCTTGGAAGCCAGACAACCAGAGAGGTACACTGGTGAAACCAGTGGTGGGGAGTTCCAAGGGTGGAACTGAAACAACAGGGGACTGTTATATGTATAACAACTGTTTGTTTTCTTCTCTGGATCATGTTTTGCCTATTGATGCTTTTGGGGGAGGATGTCAGGAAAAAGCACCAATGCAAAAGCCAGCTGCAGGTGGCTGGAAAGCAAAACAGGATGTTGCTGTCTGGAGATGTACTGCTGGAGAAAAGGGGCAGTCTTTTCTCTGTACTGAGCACCGGATGTTAGCTCAGAATGTAATCTGACCTGTACTGGAAGTGCAGGGCGGAGTTGTTTCTCTTCTGATGGAATCTGAAGGGAGCAGTCGCATTTCTATGTGCTGCTGAATGGACAGGAATAAAACATGTAAAAGGGACTCCTGTCTGTCTCATTTCCCCTCCCTGGGGAGAATGCAGGGAGGGAAAGAAGCAGAGCAGCAGAGGGTGTGTTCTTTCTCACGTCTAATGAGAAGAATCGCCGGGTTTGTTTACCTAGCCTGCCGGAGGTCGCAGACGGAAGGTAAACACAGTATCTCGCTCAATTGCCTCAGGGGAGGCCAGTTAACCTCTGACTGTGAGCTCAGATACTGACAGTTTTGACCAAACGTGATCCACTCGGAGCAGGAACTGGCAAGCCATTCCAGTATCCCTGCCAAGAAAACTCCATGGACAAAGACAACAGGCATATACAGTGGTACCTCGGGTTACATACACTTCAGGTTACATACGCTTCAGGTTAGACTCCGCTAACCCAGAAATAGTACCGTGGGTTAAGAACTTTGCCTCAGGATGAGAACAGAAATCGCACGACAGCGGCGCGGCAGCAGTAGGTGGCCCCATTAGCTAAAGTGGTGCTTCAGGTTAAGAACAGTTTCAGGTTAAAAACGGACCTCCGGAACGAATTAAGTACATAACCAGAGGTACAACTGTTCCACTTAGTACATCAAAATATTGAAGTGGTTCACACAATGTACAATGATGGCATCACAAACAAAAAGGAACGACAGAGCATCAAAATGCAATTAGAACCCATTAAGCAAAACATTAATACATTCATAGGGAAATACCGTATTTTTCGCTCTATAGGGCACACCGGACCATAGGGCGCACTTAGGGGTTTTTTTGGGGGGGGGATAAAGAAAAAAAATGCATTCCCCCCCCCCACAGCCCCAAAGAGCAAAGAAGCAAAAGCCTACATTCACTCCATAGGACGCACACACATTTCCCCTTCATATACAGTAATGCCTGTGGTCTATTACAATGCTTCTATAAAAAAAGGGCATAGTGCCCATGTTTAAACCCTAAACTGTGGTTAATCTTAACTGCAGCTTGTTTCTTGCAAACAGTATAGGAAAAAATACAACCATATATAGATGGGGGTTATGTTGTAGTGTATGGAGGAAGCCTGTTTAACGTGAGGCCCTTCCTCATAGCTCTCTGGGTGTGGGAATCTTCCTAATATCTTGGGGTGTCTCTGCTACATATCCTGTATTCTCTTACAGAGTTGGGAAACCTGTATCTGTGAACCATGGGGAACCAATGCCACAAGAAACCTGACTGGGAAGACCTGGAACTCGTTAATGAAGTGAGAGAGGTGAAATAATCGAGAACTAAAGGCCAATGGCCCATCTAGTCCAGGATCCTGTTCTCCCAGTGGCCAAACAGGGGGACAAGAGCCCTCTCCTCTTCTGTGGTCTCCCCACACTCGTATTAAGAAAAAAATACTACCTCTAAGTGTGGAAGCAGGAGATAGCCATCATGGCTAGTAGTCATTGATAGACTTCTCCTCCATGAATATGTCCAAGAATATTTTCAAGCCATCCAAGTTGGTGGCCATTTAGTTCCCATTTGCTAGTGTGCTGCCAGGGGGTGGGAGTGGGGCCAGGGGTTGAGTTCCCAGTCCCTCTAATGCTTGAGACGCAGATGTGCAGGCCACAATAGATTACATAAGGTTGCCTCTTCCATATGGTCTGTCTAGTCTTCAGTCTAGTCTTCAGCAAGAGACTCCACATGTGATGTCTTCAGGGTCTGGAGGTCCTGGAGAGCGCTGGGGGTGCCAGTCTCAATATAGCTGCTATGGCGGGTGGAAGGAGCAAGACCCTTTAGGAGGCATTAATGCTGTGAGCCCCTCCATCAGAGGCGCAGGTTGCATAGATGTGTAAATAAACTATTGACCATTAAGATACCACACTCTCAGATGTCCTCATTTTGAGGAAACCGAACCCTCTGTAAGCTCCTGGAAACCTGGAATACCACACCATTTGGAGATTGGGTGTGTGTGCAATAAATGGGTATACTTTAAATGTGTGGTATGTAAACAAGCACATCCCTGATTTCTCACTTGTGGAATGTGAGTGAAAGCTAGAGATGATGGGAGGTTGTTGCTCCAGCTTGAACAATAGGCTCCTATTGAAATTATTCCTTTCTTCTGTTTCTGGTGATATAGGAGGAGAGGGAGGCGGCTGCAAATTTCTTCACTGCAGGCCAGGCTCCATCTTCAGTTGAGCAGAGGCAGCTGCAGAATGAAACCCAGGAGGAAGAGGATGATGGGGAGGGCAGGATTTGGGGTAAGTTCAGACTCCCCCTATCCTGCTATATGTGCCAAACACACCCACCCCTTTGCCCTTCCCCCACACCTGACTAAAAGCCCTCCTTTTATTTCTCACCCCCTTGCATATGCTTCCCCAGCTCACCTGGGCTGGCCAGCTGTTCCACATGCTTCGGTTGGCATGGCCACCTACTGGTCACCACATGAACTGCAGAGTGTGACAATACCTTACATTCTTATTTATCTAGGAAGGGAAGAAAACCAGGAATTGTGCCCATGCATTCACAATTAGTGCTTTTGTTTCATAAGAAAATAAAACCCTCTCCCAGGTTATACAGGGACTTGTATTATAATTTTTTCCCCAGAGCATGCAAACCAACAAACACATCAAATTTCAGCAGTATACTGTTGTTTAATTCCAGTAAAGGGATGTGGGTGGCGCTGTGGGTTAAACCACAGAGCCTAGGACTTGCTCCTGCCAACCTAGCAGTTTGAAAGCACGTCAAAGTGCAAGTAAATAAATAGGTACTGCTGCAGCGGGAAGGTAAACGGCGTTTCTATGTGCTGCTCTGGTTTGCCAGAAGCAGCTTAAATCATGCTGGCCACATAACCCAGAAGCTGTACGTCGGCTCCCTCAGCCAATAAAGCCAAATGAGTGCCACAACCCCAGAGTTGGTTAGGACTGGACCTAATGGTCAGGGGTCCCTTTACCTTTACCTAATTCCAGTAAGCTACCGGTAATTCTTAAGCCATTAAATTCCCTTCAATCTCTTAAGCTCTTGCTTTAGAGGAAATGAAAGTTCTGCTGGTCAAGGTGTCTTTCAGCAGCATATTCTAACAGACATAGGGGGAAATAAATAACTCTCACTATGGGAAATAGCCAATTTCAATGAATGAAACCACACGTTTAGTAGAGAGCCAATGGAAGTTTTCCTTCTCCTGTGGGGTCCCATCAAGACTTTCTCCCCTTTATTTCAGCAGATGATATGCAGGTAACTGAGAAGGAAGGAGAACGTTGTGCGATGTTGTCAGCAGAGCCTGAGCACAAAGAGATGAACGAGAATGTTATACAGGGAACTCAGGTGGAAGAGAGACCCTATCAATGCAGCCGATGTGGAAAAAGCTTCAAACACAAGTTGAACGTTTATGAACACCAAAGAGTTCACAAAGAAGAGGCCCCCTATTTGTGTATGTGGTGTGGGAAAAGCTGTAAGACCAGCTCATCCCTTATGAGGCATGAAAGAAGTCACACGGGAGAGAAGCCCTATAAATGTGAGGAATGTGGAAGAAGCTTCAGTCATAGATCAAACCTTGCCTCGCACCAAGTAACCCACACTAAAGAGAAGCCTTATAAATGCCCAGAATGCGGGCAGAGCTTCAGTCACAAGTGCAACTTGAACGTACACCAGAGAACCCACAAAGGGGAGAGGCCATACAAATGCTCAGAATGTGGCAAGTGTTACATTACCCGATCCAACCTTACAGTTCATCAAAGAATCCACACCGAAGAGAAGCCTTATCAATGCTCAGAATGTGGGCAGAGCTTCAGTCACAAGTGCAACTTCAACGTACACCAGAGAACCCACACAGGGGAGAGGCCATACAAATGCTCAGAATGTGGCAAGAGTTACATTACCAGATCCAACCTTAGGAAGCATGAAAGAATCCACACAAAAGAGAAGCCTTAAGAATGCTCAAAATGTGGTCATAGCTTCAATCATAGCACACATCTCAGCACACACCAGAGAACCCATGGAGAAAACATACAAATGCTCAAAATGCGACAAGGACTTTACTTCTCCATTTGATCTCACTATACATAACAGGATGCACATTGAAGAAGGACCTTACAAATGCGGAGAGAGCTTCAGGTGCAGCACATCCCTTATGGCACATCAGAGAATTCATAGAGGAGAGGAGCCGGATTTTGGACTCAGCCATGCTTCTGAACCAAGTCTTGTTGAACATAATGTAACCCGCCCTGAAAAGAAATGTTTCGTATGTTCCATTTGTTCCAGAACATTTGGGTGTAGCGGAAGCCTTGGGTTACACCAACTGAAGCATAAATAGGAGACATCGCAGAGCTTCTCAGGCTGAAGCAAGACCCTTTTTTAAATCTCCAATTAATCAGCACAAGACAATTCCCACCAAATAGCCCACAAGTGTGGGGAAAGCTTTTATGATAGCGCACTCATTTCACGTCAGTTGAATCGGCACAAGACAGCAATGGAGAGGCAGAGAAATGTTGCAAATGCTTCTGTTTCTCCATTCTTCTACTTCAGTGTATTACTCCAATCACTGGTACTTCTTTTTAAATGCATGTTTTACTTGGCACTTGCTTCTATAAGTATTTTAATGTGTTTGTTGTATTCACGAATAAATTTTGTAGGTTTTTACCCCTTTTGCTTCTCGTTTTATTACTCTCGCTCCCTGTCAAGGTTGCAGTTTTAAACATACTGTAACGACGTTTATTAAACAGCTTTTCTCATTGCACATGGCTGTAGAACCTCTGGCCTGTGGGCCAGTCTTCCCTAAGCCATGCCTTCTTATTTTTAATGTTCCTATGTGGAAAATATATGAAAATAAATTTTGGATTTCAATTTTAAAAGAGACCAGGAAGGCTAGAAATCAAAGTGCAAGAGGGGAAAGAGTGAATCTTTGACTCTCATCTGCCTTGTTGCTGGTCTTGGCTCAGTTTTCCTCCCTGTGAACTTCATTTCCCAGCAGCCTTTGCAAATCCCTCAGAAACAATCAGCAGCTGTTCTCATTTACCTGAGCATGTGCACAGCTGGGGGAGAAGAAGTCTGGGATGCAAGAGGCAAGTCATAAATTCAACAGCACCTGTCTAGAGCTCAAGAGAAAACGTCATGGGATCTTGTAGGAGAAGCTTAACATAGAGTTCCCATTTCTACTCTGCTTCCTGGGCGCTGACATCCTAGCTTTTAATCTTCCACCCCCAGAGTAAGTGCTGCATTGGGGCTGGATAGTAGACCCATTTTCCTTTCTGCTTTCCTGGGTGAGTTAAAGGGATTCATTCATTTCTTCAGAGGAGAATGGAAGCTCAACTGGGAGGTGCCTAGTAGTGGGAGTGGAATTTGGTGAGGAAAGTGCTGTTGCAACAGGCAACAGACTTTGGTTGAAACGCACAAGATTAGCAAGAAAAGGGCGTTGCTGTACAGGTTTCCAAACTTTTCATGTTGGTGACAACGCCTTTTAGACATGCATCATTTTTCGACACAGCAATTCAGTTTTTCCAGCAAACTGAAGGTTAAACTAACCCCTTTCCAGCCCCAGGATGAGCATGGGAAGAATTTGCACAATATACCTACATACTTCAGCCAACACACTATTGTGTGGCAAAACACAGTTTAGAAAGCTCTGGATTAATGTATCTGGGAGTGGGAGGCAGGAGGGGCTTTCCCAAGTTTAGTTTCAGCTTCAGTTTCCCTTTCTTGCTTGATCATCTTCCGTAAAGGAGCTTTGGCATTCAATGTTTTCTTATTTGGAGGTGTCCTTGAAGCAGAAATATTAGGTTTGAAGACTGCAGTGCCGGGGAGATGGACCTCAAAGTCCCTGCCAGGAAGCATCAGCATCCTTAGGAGTAGGTGCACTTTGCCAGTGTAAAAAAAAATGACCACATTAATGCCATACTTTTAAAGGTACCTCTTTAAACAGTCCTGGCTTCCTCCAAGCATTCATTTCATTCATTCATTTTACTAACGTATATGCCGCTTGGTACAGCAAAATATTGAAGCAGTTCACACAATGTACTATGATCCCATCACAAGCCAAAAGCAAGTACAGAGTGTCAAAATACAGTAAGAAGCAATCAATCAAAACATTAAGACTGGAACAATGCCTGTGGTCTATTACAATGCTTCTTTAGATAAAGGCCTAGGGCCCATATCTAAACCCGTATTTGCGGTTGATTTTAACTACTGCTTGTTCCTTGCAAACTGTATAGAAAAGAATACAGTGGTACCTTGGGTTAAGTACTTACTGTATTTTTTGCTCTATAAGACTCACTTTTTCCCTCCTAAAAAGTAAGGGGAAATGTGTGTGCATCTTATGGAGTGAATGCAGGCTGCGCAGCTATCCCAGAAGCCAGAACAGCAAGAGGGATTGCTGCTTTCACTGCACAGCGATCCCTCTTGTTGTTCTGGCTTCTGAGATTTAGAATATTTTTGTTCTTGGTTTCCTCCTCCAAAAACTAGGTGCGTCTTGTGGTCTGGTGCGTCTTATAGAGCGAAAAATACTTATTTCGTTCCGGAGGTCTCTTCTTAACCTGAAACTGTTCTTAATCTGAAGCACCACTTTAGCTAATGGGGCCCCCCGTTGCCACTGAGCCGCCGGAGCACGATTTCTATTCTCATCCTGAAGCATAGTTCTTAACCCGAGGTACTATTTCTGGGTTAGTGGAGTCCGTAACCTGAAGCATATGTAACCCGAGGTACCAGTGGACATGCACAAATAGATGAGGGTCACGGTGTAGTGTTTGGAGGAAATCTGCTTAACGCAGGCATCCCCAAACTCGGCCCTCCAGATGTTTTTGGGACTACAATTCCCATCATCCCTGACCACTGGTCCTGTTAGCTAGGGATGTTGGGAGTTGTAGTCTCAAAACATCTAGAGGGCCAAGTTTGGGGATGCCTGGCTTAACGCGAGGCCCTTCCTCATAGCTCTCTGGGTGTGGGAATATCCCTAATATCTTGGGTGTCTCCGTTACATATCCCGCATTCTCTTACAGAGTTGAGAGACCTGTATCTGTGACCCATGGAGGACCATGACTCTATGAATCCTCACTGGCAGTGCTTTTTTGCGGGGGACGCAGAGGTACGCAGACCCCTAAACATTTTGTGAATCCAAGTCTGGCCTCATTACGGGGCAGTATTTCAATATGAGTAGGAAAATGAGAGTACCCCTAAACATTTTTCAAGGAAAAAAGCACTGCTTACTGGTATGAAGAACCGGGAGACGTCGAAGTCATGCTCTCCTTCCAGGTGAAATAATTAAGAAGCAGAGGCCAGTGGCCCATCTAGTCCATCATTCTGTTCTCTCAGTGGCCAAACAGATGCCTGTGGGGAAACATGCAAGGACAAGAGCTCTCTCCTCTTCTGTGGTCTCCCAAAACTCGTATTCAGACGCATTACCTCCTCTGACTGAGGAGACAGAACAGAGCCGCCATGGCTACCGGCTGTTGACAGCCTTCACTTCCATGAAAATAATAATAATAATAATAATAATAATAATAATAATAATAATAATAATAATAATAATAATTTATTATTTGTACCCCGCCCATCTGGCTGGGGTTCCCCAGCCACTCTGGGCAGCTTCCAACAAAAATTAAGAATACATTAAAATGTCACACATTAAAAACTTCCCTGAACAAGGCTGCCTTCAGATGTCTTCTAAATGCCACTACCGAGAAGACCCTCTGCCTGGTTCCCTGTAGCTTTGCTTCTCGCAATGAGGGAACTGCCAGAAGGCCCTCGGTGCTGGACCTCAGCGTCCGGGCAGAACGATGGGGGTGGAGACGCTCCTTCAGGTATACTGGGCTGAGGCCAATCATATTTTAAAGGGATCTAAATTGGTGAGCGTTTAGTTACCACTGGCTGTTATGCTGCCAGAGGGTTGGTTGTGGGGCCAAGGGTTGAGCTCTGCGGCAGACCCACCCGCTTACTACCAATTAATAGTGCGGTGGACTCACCCCACTAACTTCAGGCTACCAGACATCCCCGTTTCCCGGGGACAGTCCCCGGATTTACAAATCAGTCCCCTGACGAAATCCTATCATTCCTATGGAAATTGAAAAGTGTCCCTGGATTCATTGAAAAAAATCTGGCAATCTTACGCTAACTGCCCCCCATTAAATACAGCGCACACTCTTCACTGTACGCCAATTGCACAAATTTCTACAATTAACCACAGTTTGTCCTGTGATGGTCTTGTGTGAGGGAAAACGTAGTAGATTAGAGTCTCGGGCAGGACTTGCTCAAACATCCATGAAAAGTTTTATTAAACTAAAAGACGTTTGTGAAATAAAGTGGTTCAGGAAATCCATTCCTTCAAGTAAAAGTTAACTTTTCTAAAGATGCCACAGGCTTAAACATAATGCTCTGGGCACTGCTTTTCTTAAACTTTGGTTGCTAAAAATCAGTTGGTACACTTCAGTTAGATGTTTATTAAATTTTTATTGGTTTTTCAACATTTATAAAACACATACAATACAATACACAATACAAACAAACAAACACATAAACACACAAGTATAATTTCAAATCTTTTCTTTTCATAAACCTTACTTCACCGACTTCCCCGTACCTCCCATTTCTGCATCCCTATTTCCAAATTCATTTCAGCAAATCCTCTCCCTTACATTAATCTAATTTTCCCTTGTTCTTTTCTTTTACTTGATCTTTTACGGCTGTAATCCCCCCCCTTTTTTTATAACCTCAACATTTTAACACTCATTAATTTTACAATATTTCTTGAGATAAATTTAAAATTTCTTCCCATCTTCTTCCGCCGTCTCTTTCCCTTGGTCTCGGATTCTGCCAGTCATTTCAGCCAGTCCCATGTAGTCTATCACCTTCACCTGCCATTCTTCCAGAGTGGGTAGATCCTGTGTCTTCCAATACTTTGCGATAAGAATTCTTGCTGCTGTAGTAGCGTACATGAAAAAAGTCCTATCTTTCTTTGACACCAATTGGCCGACCATGCCCAAGAGAAAGGCCTCTGGTTTCTTTGGGAAAGTACATTTAAGTACCTTTTTCATTTCATTATATATCATTTCCCAGAACGCCTTAATCTTTGGGCACGTCCACCAAAGGTGGTAAAAAGTACCTTCAGTTTCATTACATTTCCAACATTTATTATCGGGCAAATGATAGATTTTTGCAAGCTTGACTGGAGTCATGTACCACCTGTAAATCATTTTCATAATATTCTCTCAAGGCATTACATGCCGTGAATTTTATACCGGTGGTCCACAACTGTTCCCAGTCAACAAACATAATGTTATGACCAATGTCTTGTGCCCAATTAATCATAGCTGATTTAACGGTTTTATCTTGTGTATTCCACTTCAGCAACAAGTTATACATTCTTGACAAATTCTTAGTATTGGGTCACTTCAGTTAGATGTTTAGGTTCTAGAAAAGGTGGTAAAATGCTCGGTTCAGTTTCTGCTACTTAGTTATGACAGGTGGTTCAGTTAAATTCATTTAATACAGCACAGCTTCCTTTGCAGATTATTACTTTGGTCTGTGAGTGAGGGACACTTTTCTTCAGTTACATACTCTCTTAACCTTCTCATTCCTGAGGTATTCCAAATGGAATAATAGACCCAGGGGATTCCCTCACCCCTTGTGACTGGTTTAGGAGTCTTTTTTACCTAGAAGAACTCGAGACCCATGGAGTTCCCACAGCTTCTCCCTCCCCTGGCTCAGTCTCAGCCCTTCCAGAACATTCCTGTCTCTCTACCTTTCCCAGACCCTCAACAATTTCTCCCTATATGTAAATCTGTGAGGCTCTGTCCTCTTGCTAACATCCTCAGTGTGGATGTTCAACTCAAATATGAACCAGGTCTCCATCAAATCCTATCCTGAACCCTATCCCTCAATCTGAACCCGCTCTAACATCTCCAGTCAAATCCTGTCTATCTTCTCAAATCCAGCCCTATCTAACTCTCTCCCTCAGAAATGGCTCCTTTTATTTTCCCTCCAAAAGTGCTGCTCCTCCCCCCTCGGTGTCTAGTTGACTCTGTAGCCAATCAGTGAAAGGCTCCAGGCCTCTGGTGGGATTTCTTGAGAACTGCACCACCAAACTCTAGTCTGGCTTCGCTGGCCATCACACGCCCTGTCCCTCTTGTGGTTGAGAAGGCCTTGTGCAGGCCACAGTAGACTAGATAGGGTTGCCTCTTCCATATTGTTTTATCTAGCCCTCAACAAGGGATTCCACATGTCTTCAGGGTCTGAAGGTCCTGGAGAACACTGGGGGCACCCACCTCAAAATAGCTGCTATGGCGGGTTGGAGAAGCAAGACCCTTTGGGGGGCATCAATGCTGTGAGCCCCTCCATCGGAGGGTCAGGCTGCATAGATGTGTAAATAAACCATCTGTCATCCAGATACCACAGTCTCAGCTACCCCTCATTCTGAGGAAACCGAGCCCTCGGTAGGCGCATGGAACCCCTGGGAATACCACACCACTTGGAGATTGATTGAGTGTGTGTGTGCATTAAATGAGTACACCTTAAATGTACACCCACTTGCAGAGGGTGAGTGATAAAGATGGTGTGGACTGAACAAAAGGTTGCTATTAAAAGGATTCCTTTCTGCTGTTTCAGTTGATACCGGAGGAGAAGGAAGAGGAGGCTGCAAATCTCCCTTATGCAGGCCAGGCTCCAGTTTTAGTTGAGCAGAGGCAGCTGCAGAAGGAGAACAAGGAGAACGAGGAGGGCAGGATTGTAGGCAAGTTCCGTCTTCCCCTACTCCTTTGCCCTCCCCCCACTTGACTAAAGCTCCTCCCTTTTATATCTCACCTCCTTGCATATTCCCTCCCCCTGCAGTTCACCTGTATCAGAAAGCTGTTCCTCATGCTGCAGAGGAATGAACTGCAGAGCGTGATAATACCTTACATTCTTATTTATCTAGGAAGGCAAGAAAATCAGGAATTGTGCCAATGCATTCACAATAAGTGACTTTGTTTCATAAGAAAATAAATCCCTGTCCCAGGTTATACAAGCACTTGTATTCTAATTGTTCCGCCAGAGCATGCAAACCAACAAACACATCAAATTTCAGCTGTATACTGTTGTTTAATTCCAGTAAAGGGATGCGGGCAGCGCTGTGGGTTAAACCACGGAGCCTAGGACTTGCTGATCAGAAGGTCGGTGGTTCGAATCTCTGCGACGGGGTGAGCTCCCATTGAAAGCACATCAGTTTGAAAGCACATCAAAGTGCAAGTAGATAAATAGGTACTGCTGCAGCAGGAAGGTAAACGGCGTTTCCGTGAACTGCTCTGGTTCGCCAGAAGCAGCTTAAGTCATGCTGGCCACATAACCCGGAAGCTGTACGTCGACTCCCTCAGCCAATAAAGCGAGATGAGCACTGCAACCCCAGAGTTGGTTAGGACTGGACCTAATGGTCAGGGGTCCCTTTACCTTTACCTAATTCCAGTAAGCTACCGGTAATTCTTAAGCCCTTCAATCTCTTAGCTCCTGCTTTAGAGGAAAGGAAAGATCTGCTGGGCAAAGTGTCTTTCAGCAGCATATTCTAACAGACATAGTGGGGGGAAAATAACTTGCACTATGAGAGATAGCCAATTTCAATGAATGAAATGACACATTTAGTGGAGAGCCAACAGAAGCTTTCCTTCTCCTCTGGGGTCCCATCAAGACTTTCTCCCCTTGATTTCAGCAGATGATATGCAGGTAACTGAGAATGAAGGAGAACTTTGTGCGATGTTCTCAATGGGGCCTGAGCACAAAGAGATGAACGAGAATGTTATGCAGAGAACTCAGGTGGAAGAGAGACCCTATCAATGTACCCAATGTGGGAAAAGCTTCAAACACAAGTCAAACCTTTATCAACACCAAAGAGTTCACACAGGAGAGGCCCCCTATTTATGTATGTGGTGTGGGAAAAGCTATAAGTCCAAGACGTCCCTTGTTCTGCATGAAAGAAGTCACACGGGAGAGAAGCCCTATAAATGTGAGGAATGTGGAAGAAGCTTCAGTCGTAAGTCAAGCCTTGCCTCACACCAAGTTAGCCACACTAAAGAGAAGCCTTATAAATGCTCAGAATGCGGGCAGAGCTTCAGTCATAAGTCCAACTTGAACGTACACCAGAGAACCCACACAGGGGAGAGGCCATACAAATGCTCAGAATGTGGCAAGAGTTACCTAACTCAACCCAACCTTAGGGTGCATCAAAGAATCCACAAAAAAGAGAAGCCTTATAAATGTGAGAAATGTGGAAGTAGCTTCAAACAAAAGAGCACTTTGAACGTACACCAGAGAACCCACACAGGGGAGAGGCCATACAAATGCTCAGAATGTGGCAAGAGTTACAGTACCCGATCCAACCTTAGGCAGCATCAAAGAATCCACACTAAAGAGAAGCCTTATAAATGCTCAAAATGTGGGCAGAGCTTCAATCGTAGCACACATCTGAAAAGACACCACAGAACCCATGAAGTGGAGAAAACATACAAATGCTCAAAATGCGACAAGAACTTTACTTCTCCGTTTGATCTCATTAAACATAACAGGATGCACATTGAAGAAGGACCTCACAAATGCTCAGAATGCGGAGAGAGCTTCAGGTGCAGCACATCCCTTATGGCACATCAGAGAATGCATAGAGGAGAGGAGCCAGATTTTGGCCTGAGCCATGCTTCTGAACCAAGTCTTGTTGAACATAATGTAACCCGCCCTGAAAAGAAATGTTTTGTATGTTCCATTTGTTCCAGAACATTTGGGTGCAGCGGAAGCCTTGGGTTACACCAACTGAAGCATAAACAGGAGACATTGCAGAGCTTCTCAGGCTGAAGCAAGACTCTTTTTTAAATATCCAATTAATTAGCACAAGACAATTCCCATGAAATAACCCACAAGTGTGGGGAAAGCTTTTATGATAGCGCACTCATTTCACATCAGTTGAATCGGCACAAGACAGCAATGGAGAGGCAGAGAGATCTTGCAAATGCTTCTGTTTCTCCATTCTTCTACTTCATTGTATTACTCCAATCACTGGTACTTCTTTTTTAAATGCATGTTTTACTTGGCACTTGCTTCTAGAAGTATTTTAATGTGTTTGCTGTATTCACGAATAAATTTTGTAGGTTTTTACCCCTTTTGCTTCTCTTTTTATTACTCTCCCTCCCTGTCAAGGTTGCAGTTTTAAACATACTGTAACAACGTTTATTAAACAGGTTTTCTCATTGCACATGGTTGTAGAACCTCTGGCCTGTGGGCCAATCTGTCTTCCCTATTTCCCTTCTTATTCCCTTCTTATTTTTAATGTTCCTATGTGGAAAATATATATGAAAATAAATTTTGGATTTAAATTTTAAAAGAGACCAGGAAGGCTAGGAATCAAAATGCAGGAGGAGAGAGAGGGAATCTTTCTCTCTCAGCTGCCTGGTTGCTGGTCTTGGCTCTGTTTTCCTCCCTGTGAACTTCATTTCCCAGCAGCCTTTGCAAATCCCTCAGAAACAATCAGCAGCTGGCCCCATTTACCTGAGCATGTGCACAGCTGGGGGAGAAGAAGTCTGGGATGCAAGAGGCTAGTCCTAAATTCAACAGCACCTGTCTAGAGCTCAAGAGAAAACATCATGGGATCTTGTAGGACAAGCTTAACATAGAGTTCCCATTTCTACTCTGCTTCCTTGGCGCTGACATCCTAGCTTTTAATCTTCCACCCCCAGACTGAGTGCTGCATTGGGGCTGGATAGTAGACCCATTTTCCTTTCTACTTTCCTGGGTGAGTTAAAGGGATTCTTTCATTTCTTCAGAGGAGGATGGAAGCTGAATCTGGGAGGTGCCTAGTGGTGGGAGTGGAATTTGGTGAGGAAAGTTGTTGCAATAGGCAACAGACTTTGGTTCAAACCCACAATATTAAAAAGAAAAGGGCGTTACTGTACAGGTTTCCAAACTTTTCATGTTGGTGACAACGCCTTTTAGACATGCATCATTTTTCAACACAGCAATTCAGTTTTTCTAGCAAACTGCAGTTTAAACTAACCCCTTTCCAGCCCCAGGATGAGCATGGGAAGAATTTGCGCAATATACCTACATACTTCAGCCAACACACTATTGTGTGGCAACACACAGTTTAGAAAGCTCTGGGTTAATGTATCTGGGAGTGGGAGGCGGAAGGAGGGCCTTTCCCAAGTTTAGTTTCAGTTTCAGTTTCCCTTCTTCCTTCCTTGATCATCTTCCGTAAAAGAGCTTTTGCATTCAACATTTCTTTTGTTAGAGGTGTCCTTGAAGCAGAAATATTAGGTTTGGAGACTGCACTGCTGGGGAGCTGGACCTCAAAGTCCCTGCCAGGAAGCAGCAGCATCCTTAGGAGTAGGTGTACTTTGCCGGTGTAAAAAATAAATGACCACATTAATGCCATACTTTTAAAGGTACCTCTTTAAACAGTCATGGCTTCCTCCAAGCATTCATTTCATTCATTCATTTTTACTAACGTATATGCCGCTTAGTACAGCAAAATATTGAAGCAGTTCACACAATGTACAATTATCCCATCACACGCCAAAAGCAAGTACAGAGTGTCAAAATACAGTAAGAACCAATCAATCAAAACATTAAGACTTGAATAATGCCTGTGGTCTCTTACAATGCTTCTTTAGATAAAGGCATAGGGCCCATATTTAAACCCATATTTGCGGTTGATCTTAACTACTGCTTGCTCCTTGCAAACTGTATAGAAAAGAATACAGTGGAACCTCGGGTTAAGTACTTATTTGGTTCCGGAGGTCCTTTCTTAACCTGAAACTGTTCTTAATCTGAAGCACCACTTTAGCTAATGGGGCCTCCCGCTGCCGCTGAGCCGCCGGAGCACGATTTCTATTCTCATCCTGAAGCATAGTTCTTAACCTGAGGTACTATTTCTGGGTTAGTGGAGTCCGTAACCTGAAGCATATGTAACCCGAGGTACCACTGTACATGCACAAATAGATGAGGGTCACGGTGTACTGTTTGGAGGAAATCTGCTTAACGCAGGCATCCCCAAACTCTGCCCTCCAGATGTTTTTGGGACTACAATTCCCATCATCCCTGACCACTGGTCTTGTTAGCTAGGGATGGTCGGAGTTGTAGTCCCAAAACATCTGGAGGGCCAAGTTTGGGGATGTCTGGCTTAACGCGAGGCCCTTCCTCGTAGCTCTCTGGGTGTGGGAATATCCCTAATATCTTGGGTGTCTCCGTTACATATCCCGCATTCTCTTACAGAGTTGAGAGACCTGTATCTGTGCCCCATGGAGGACCATGACTCTATGAATCCTCACTGGCAGTGCTTTTTTGCGGGGGACGCAGAGGTACGCAGAACCCTAAACATTTTGTGAATCCAAGTCTGGCCTCGTTAAGGGGCAGTATTTCAATATGAGTAGGAAAATGAGAGTACCCCTAAACATTTTTCAAGGAAAAAAGCACTGCTTACTGGTATGAAGAACCGGGAGACGTCGAAGCCATGCTCTCCTTCCAGGTGAAATGATTAAGAAGCAGAGGCCAATGGCCCATCTAGTCCAGCATCCTGTTCTCTCAGTGGCCAAACAGATGCCTGTGGGGAAACATGCAAGGACAAGAGCTCTCTCCTCTTCTGTGGTCCCCCCAAACTTGTATTCAGACGCATTACCTCCTCTGACTGGGGAGACAGAACAGAGCCGCCATGGCTACTAGCTGTTGACAGCCTTCACTTCCGTGAAAATAATAATGATATTGATAATAATAATAATAATACAGTGGTGCCCCACAAGACGAATGCCTCGCAAGACGAAAAACTTGCTAGACAAAAGCGTTTTCCATTTTTTGAGTCATTCTGCAAGACAAATTTCCCTATGGGTTTGCTTCGCAAGACGAAACGTCTTGCGAGTTTGTTTCCTTTTTCTTAAAGCCGCTAAGCCGTTAATAGCAGCTAAGCCGCTAAGCCATTAACAGCCGCTAAGCCGCTAATAGCCATGCTTCGCAAGACGAAAAAACCGCAAGACGAAGAGACTCGCGGAACGGATTAATTTTGTCTTGCGAGGCACCACTGTAACAACAACAACAACAACAACAACAACAACAAAACAACAACAACAATAAAAACAACAAAACTATTATTATTATTATTATTATTATTATTTTTGTTATTAATAATTTATTTGTACCTCGCCCATCTGGTTGGGGTTCTCCAGCCACTCTGGGCGACTTCCAACAAAGATTAAAAATATATTAAAATGTCACACATTAAAAACTTCCCTGAACAAGGCTGCCTTCAGATGTCTTCTAAATGTCAGGTAGTTGTTTATCTCTTTGACATCTGATGGGAGGGCATTCCACAGGGCGGGTGCCACTACCGAGAAGGCCCTCTGCCTGGTTCTCTGTAACTTGGCAGTGAGGGAACCGCCAGAAGGCCCTCGGCGCTGGACCTCAGCGTCTGGGCAGAACGATGGGGGTGGAGACACTCCTTCAGGTATACTGGGCTGAGGCCAATCATATTTTAAAGGGATCTAAATTGGTGGGCGTTTAGTTACCATTGGCTGTTATGCTGCCAGAGGGTTGGTTGTGGGGTTGTGGGGCCACGGGTTGAGCTCTGTGGCAGACCCACTCACTTACTACCAATTAATAGTGCAGTGGACTCACTCCACTAACCTCAGGTTACCAGACGTCCCTGTATCCCAGGAACAGTCCCCGGATTTACAAATCAGTCCCCTGACGAAATCCTATCATTCCTATGGAAATTGAAAAGTGTCCGCGTATCCATTGGAAAAAAATCTGGCAATCTTACGCTAACTGCCCCCCATTAAATATAGCACACACTCTTCACTGTATGCCAATTGCACAAATTTCTACAATTAACCACAGTTTGTCCTGTGGGGGTCTAGTGTGAGGGAAAACGTAGTAGATTAGAGTCTCGGGCAGGACTTGCTCAAACACGCATGAAAAGTTTTATTAAACTGAAAGAAGTTTGTGAAATAAAGTGGGTCAGGAAATCCATTCCTTCAAGTAAAAGTTAACTTTTATAAATATGCCACAGGCTTAAACATAACGCTCTAGGCAAGGCTCTTCTTAAACTTTGGTTGCTAAAATCAGTTGGTCCACTTCAGTTAGATGTTTAGGTTCTATAAAAGGTGGTAAAATGCTCGATTCAGCTTAGTTAGTTATGACAGGTGGTTCAGTTAAATACATTTAATACAGCACAGCTTCCTTTGCAGATTAATACTTTGGTCCGTGAGTGAGGGACACTTTTCTTCAGTTACACACTCTCTTAATCATCTCATTCCTGAGGTATTCCAAATGGAATAATAGACCCAGGGGACTGGTTTAGGAGTCTTCTTTACCTAGAAGAACTCGAGACCCAAGGAGTCTGTATTACCACAGCTTCTCCCTCTCCTGTCTCAGTCTCAGCCCTTCCAGAACATTCCTGTCTGTATATATTTCCCAAACCCTCAACAATTTCTCCTTATATGTAAAGCTATGAGGCTCTGTCCTCTTGCTAACATCCTCAGTGTGGATGTTCAACTCAAATATGAACTAGTTCTCCATCAAATCGTATCCTGAACCCTATCCCTCAACCTGAACCCGCTCTAACATCTCCAATCAAATCCTGTCCGTCTTCTCAAATCCAGCCCTATCTAACTCTCTCCCTCAGAAATGGCTCCATTCATTTTCCCTCCAAAAGTGCTGCTTCTCCCCCCCCCCCCATTGTCTAGTTGACTCTGTAGCCAATCAGAGAAAGGCTCCGGGCCTCTGGTCGAATTTCTTGGGAACTGCACTGCCAGATTCTAGTCTGGCTCTGCTGGCCATCACACACCCTGTCCCTCTTGTGGTTGAGAAGGCCATGTGCAGGCCACAGTAGACTAGACAGGGCTGCCTCTTCCATATTGTTTTATCTAGCCCTCAACAAGGGATTCCACATATCTTCGGGGTCTGAAGGTCCTGGAGAGCGCTGGGGGCACCCGCCTCAAAATAGCTGCTATGGCGGGTTGGAGAAGCAAGACCCTTGGGGGGGGCATTAATGCTGTGAGCCCCTCCATCGGAGCTCAGGTGGCTTAGATGTGTAAATAAACCATTTATTACCAAGATACCACAGTCTCAGCTGTCCCTCATTCTGAGGAAACTGAGCCCTCGGTAAGCGCATGGAACCCCTGGGAATACCGCACCACTTGGAGATTGGGTGTGGGTGCAATAAATGGGCACACCTTAAATGTGTGGTGTGAACAAACACAGCCCTCATTTCTCACTTGCAGAGGGTGAGTGAAAAAGATGGTGTGGACTGTTGCTCCAGCTTGAACAAAAGGTTGCTATTGAAAGAATTCCTTTCTGCTGTTTCAGTTGATACCGGAGGAGAAGGAAGAGGAGCCTGCAAATCTCCCTGATGCAGGCCAGGCTCCAGTTTTAGTTGAGCAGAGGCAGCTGCAGAAGGAAAATGAGGAGAACGAGGAGAGCAAGATTGTAGGCAAGTTCCGTCTTCCCCTACCCCTTTGCCCTCTCCCCCCACTTGACCAAAGCCCCTCCCTTTTATATCTCACCTCCTTGCTAATCCCCCCTCAGTTCACCTGTGTCAGAAAGCTGTTCCTCATGCTGCAGTTGGCATGGCCACCTACTGGTCACCACATGAACTGCAGAGAGTGATAATACCTTACATTCTTATTTATCTAGGAAGGCAAGAAAATCAGGATTTGTGCCAATGCATTCACAATAAGTGATTTTGTTTCATAAGAAAATAAATCCCTATTCAAAGATTTATTGCTTTATTGCCCAGCCACGCTTCCCTGCGAACCTCTGCTGATAGCGTCTGCAGCTTCTGTTTTTCCAGCGTAGCTTCGGGAGAAAGCAATTAAGCAGAAAGCACAGCGTCTGTGCAAGTAAGGGCAGTAAATCAGTCCAGACGTTGCTTCTATGCTAGAAGCTCTTTATTGTTGCAAAACAGCGTATTTACAATCCAAGAAAGCTATCAGTGTCTAGCTGCATTTTCTGACTCCTTTCTCTCTCAGAGCAGCGACCGATCTGAAATCGAAAGCACTCTGTTGACGTAACGTCCTGGCTTACTTCCGGTCTTGCGGTCCTCAGTATTAGCCCAGTCCGAGTCCACAAAACAATTCAGTTTGACTTCACCTTGCACTGGCAACCTAAGACAAAAGTCTTTGGTTTCCTGCAAATACCTCAGAACTCTCTTGATGCCATTCCAGGCTTGCACACTAGGGTTTGAAGCTTCCCTGCTGAGCAGATTGACAGCAAACGCTATATCTGGTCTGCTCCACTGGGACAAGTACAGCAAACTCCCTAGGGCTGACTGAAACACTTCAGCGTTTTCAAACACAGTGTGTTCTACTTGCTGACTATCCTTTACAAAACTAGTCTCCATAGGACTTCTCACTCCTGCACAGTCGCTCATCCTGAATTTCTGAAGCAGTTGCTCAATTTTGCCTCTCTGGCTGAGCAAGAAGCTTCCATCCTGTGCTCTGACAATATCTATGCCTAGATAGGTTTTGACAGCACCAAACTGTTTAAGCTTGAACCGTTTACCTAGCTCCCTAGCAAACCTTTCTGCCTGTTTATCTGTCTCTGAAAAGAATAGCAAGTCATCGACAAAAATCTGAACAAATTCATGTGTTGCACCTGATCCTTTCAAATAGAGGCAACTATCCACAACACTTCTTTTGAAACCTAGCTCTTCTAAGGCTTCATTCAGGCACATGTTCCAGTTTCTGGCTGATTGATGTAATCCATAGATGGATTTGTGCAATCTCCACACAACCACCTTGTCTCAAGATCTCAAACCCCTAAGGAGGAAGCATGTACAGCTCCTCCTGGAGATCTGAGTTCAGGTAGGCAACATCCACATCAAAGTGGTTTACCTTCTAACCTCTCTGTGCAGCAAAAGCTAAAAGCATTCTCAGAGTCTCTGCTCGTGAGGTTGGCGAATACACCTCAGTGAAGTGTATTCCCTTTCTCTGAGTGAATCCTCGAGCAACTAATCTGGCTTTATAATGTGGCTCTCCAGTGTCAGTGGGTTTCAAGCAGTAAACCCACCTGCAACTCACAGCCTGTTTGCCCCGGTGGCAACTCTGTGAGTAAGAACACACCTAGGTCTTTCATGGACTTCATCTCTTTGTCCATTGCCCTGTGCCACTTACCACCTTCTCCCTGAGGTAAACTCTGAATATCCTCGAAGGATTCAGGTTCACATCTGGCTGCACCTACCCAGATGCCTGAAGCGTCATACCGATCAGGAGGCCTCCTTGTCCTCGCTGATCTCCTCAGTGTGAACCCTGTGTCCCTGCTGACTCACTGGGTCCAGCTAAATCATCCTCAACCTCAGTGTCTTCCCTCCTCTGACCTGCTGCGCCTCTTGGGCCTTAAAACTGCTCCAGCAGGTGAGGAAGGCTCACTCTTTGGGCTCAGACTTGACACTTCCCTGAGGAGGTGTTCTAGGTTCCCCCCTCTAAGGGATCCTGAGCTGTCCCTGCCTTGGACCACGGTCCCCAGCAACAAGTTCCTCTTCCTCCTCAATGTCTGAGTCATAGAACGGCTGTGGAATCACGTCTGGATTAGCATGCAAACGTTTCCAACCAGCTTGTTCACAGAACTCAGCACTATTGCTAATCACCAACCTTGACTGGTTTCCACTTGGGTATGCAAACCGCCAGGCCTTGGAGCCAGGCTCATACCCCACAAAGATCATTCTTTTGGATCTTGGCTCACCTTTCTTGCGTAGAGCCTTTGGAATAAGAACCCAGGCCTCACAACCAAACACACGAAGGTAGTGCACCTTAGGTTTCTTTCCATGCAGCAAGAAATAAGGTGTATTTCCTACACTTGGAGTTGTACACTCTGTTCTGCTTATGAACCACAAAGCGCCAGGCTTCAGACCAGAACCTCTGGGGTAGCCCTGCATCCCACAGAACAGACGCCACCAGCTTCCTGTATCGTCCTGTTCCTTCTTCTCCGCGATCCCATTTCTGCTGCAGAGAGTAAGGAGCAGTCAATCGGTGGCTAATCCCCTTCTCCCTAAAGAAATCCTGTAAAGCAGAACCAGTGAGCTCAGCACCTCTGTCACTTTGAAAGCCACGCACTCTGGTGGAGAAGGTTACCTCAACTTGCGGTGATCCAATCCCTGATCAGTTTAGCCACCTCCCTT